GCTCGGAGTTGCATGCTCAGAAACATCTTGACGGCTCCTGTCGGTTCCGCGGTGGAAAACTTGGGCCACGCAAACAAATCATTCAAACTCACAGGCAACAAGGGGAAAAATCACAGAGTAAGTTTCGTTTTGGAGCAATCTGGGCGAATTTTGGGCTCAAGGGGTTGATTTCGAGGTAGGTGTCAGGCCAAAAGACAGCAACAACTCCAAGCAAGAGTTGCGCGAGGCACTCGGATTTGGGGATGGAGGCGACCAACCGCACCACAGACCCAGAACAATGTTATGGTGCAAATAGCTGAGCAATTCGATTAACACCACATGCGCACATGTTGGAAGCTGTAAAGGAACTATGGTGTAGCACTAAACTGAAGCTAGCTTTTACCGTACATCCAAAGGGATTGCCTCTAAGGTCAAAACATGGGCAAATAATAAACATCAAGAACACACAGCCCTGCGGGCAAAGCTCGCCACCTTGTGAAAAGCTCAGGATCCCTGGCAAATCGCTGCCGTCCCAGACTTGCACCTGGCAGCAAGCAGGTTGTCGACACGACGGGGTGGTCGATGCCAGAAACCACTTTGGACGCATATATGTGCACATATATTGGTTCAAATGCAACATGTTGCGCTTCCAACATTCCGCAAGATTGCGGCTCAATACGAGATCCAAAAGCCCTGTTCTCAAGCACCAACCTGCTGTTTGGGCCAACTTAGCTCACTCGTGGGTCACGTAAGAAGGCACCTTGGTAGAACGGTCTCTGGCAATGAATGAGCCACACAATGGCCTGAATGAGCGACTTACCTGCTGCTGAGTTCTTCCAAATAAAGACCTGCCTGGTGGATCCAAGCAAACCACAAGCTGGTTTGCGGCCAAATGAATCGACTAAACAAATCGTAATACCTCCAGGATCAACCTCCCTTTGTGAGCATAGTGGAAATTGCTGGCACGGAGTGGACAACAAGCACTAAAATACCAAATTATTTGGCCATTGCCCGTGTCACCTTGAAACCTGGGAATACCAACGCATTGCCATTTCCCACCCGGGGTGATGACCGTCATGAAAAGTCATGCCTGAAAAATACGCCCTTGATGAAATTGCACTGGCAAGGAATGGCAAGGGCATGCCTCAATTGGCAAGGGCGACTGCGCAACCGAGCAACCTAACAATGTCTGCAATATCATGGACATAGTGAGACAGAATTGAACACATCACAACAGTACCCATGATCCGTACTTGAGCCCAGAATGTATATCATGGAGACACGTGTATGACAAGCGCATAAGAGTTGCACATGTGTATATATATATGTGTACATGTACAATATATGCAACAATATTTATGTATAATCAATCACAATCATGACATTCGTAAAATAAACATGTAGAAATACAATATTCACACGCACCCATGAACCAGGCAGCTAAAGATAGCCGTCTGGCTCGAAACACGGTCAACCTTCAATGCTCCTGTGGGCACTGTATAGAAGCAAGGATCTAGTGTCGACCCTCTCAATCGCCTGACATCAGGACTTCCTGTCGTTCTTGATGCAAAAAACAAAAACTTACTGTGGAAGAACTACATCTGTATGAAGCACTCTCTCCCTCTGCAACTGTGATTGCGGTCTTGTTGCTGTTGCAGCTACCGCTGGTCTGGAAAGCTCATCTCAGGACTGAGTGACTGCCTAGACAAGACTCAGGTTGTCACTGGGATGGGTAAATTCGGGACACGAGTGCATTGCACGTGCCCACCGAGAGGCACTCCTTCGAAGATCGCGGACACTCTGTGTGCCGCGAGCCGCGCACGCACAAGCAATCAATGACGCAAGTGAATTCCAGAAGCATTGGTCTTCCAAACTCCGGACCAACCCCCCCATTTCTCTGAGCCAGAAATTGTCTGTGAACATATTTAGGCTTTGGTATGGGCGCAGGGTGGGTACTGCTTTTCGCTTCCTGCAGAACAACCAAGATGCTTCAGTCGCAGCGTTTGCTGCACCCTAAAAGAAGGGGAGTGGATTTGTTGTGCGTGCATCACGGATCAAGGGCAACCAGGACCACAAAGTTCTTGCAGTACTGAGAATCACTCGGGCCTTGGCCCAAACTTGGTTCATCAAGCTTGGTTTTCCCCATACTGTAGATGATGCTACCAAAGTCCAGTCCTGACCCAAGACCTCAAGGTCCTGAGCCCTGAACCCGAACCCGGTACTTCCTAGCTACAGCCCACACTTGCGCTTGAGACAAGCTCCGTGATCAATGCATCCCTTGGTCAGTCCATCCCTATCTTTTCACCTCTGAGTCCCAAAGCCTTTTTGAAAGATTTCGCTTGGTCCATCAGCACGCTCATGGTGTGCTGATGCGATTGCGGTTGTCTTCGAATGGTCCGCGGCTCTGACCCGCAAGCGCTTCTTGCGGCCAGGGGCTGTGGGCTCTGCCTCAGCCTCATCCAACAGCCAAACAATGAGCCAAGGCTTTGGACAGTTGCATCAGCATGTTCAACTTCTCTGTAAAACGCTTTCAGAATCTTCGCTTTGATATCACATTCTAAGGAAAGGCCTCAAGCTTTGCTCATTGCCCAGCGCTGGATGCTATGCGAGTCTCGAGGGAAGAGGGGCCCTCTCTGTACGGGTAACCACGCGTACCAACTTGCGAGATAGCGCGTGGTCAAACTCTTTGTGTGTTGCTCACCAGGCACAGAGGGCGGGCCGAACGTTTCTTGCCGAATTCAATCTTAGACTGCTAGGCCGTATAGTTGAGGGATCCTTTGGTATAGGGATATCAAGTGGAGATGTCACTTAGTCGTCCCGAAGTTGAGTTAAGCCGTGGTGACGTGGTGCCATGGGGGAAGGCTGTTGCGTAGGTATCAGCTAGCAGCTACCATTGGCAGTAAGACACGAGGCGCTAACCTGCTGCGGGTTGCAGTGAAAACAAGCATGGTGCCCATCGCCAGCGACAGAAGTGAGTGGCAAATAGAAGTAAGAAGTAGCAGCAGGACAAGGGAAA